TGACTTCTTCCTTTCAACCAGTTCATGATCCACCTCATTACCTGATCATCAAGAGCACACTTCCTCAGTTTATCTATGAGGATGCTGTGGGAGACAGTGTCAAATGCTTTACTGACATCAAGATAAACCACACCTACTGCCCTACCAACATCTATCCACCTAGTTACTTCCTCAGGCTGCTTTAGAAAAGGTACCACAAAAAGGGAATCAGATGTCAAGTCTGCCTCAGACAGCATGTACATACAACTTCAGCAGCAAGTCAACAAAGAGCACACACTCTTCAACTCCGAATTTATAACCCTACATCTTCTAACTTCACAATGCTGTTAGTAGAGCATAAGCTTTAAACCACCTTTACTTCTACCCAATAGGAAGCCTGCCTCTGTCTGTCACTGCTACTGTTATTATGAATTCAGTTTAAGATTTAAATAACCACCTGCCCAGCCTGTTGTTAAACTCTGAAACTGCTTCTGTGACCAGTGGTTCTACAAATGTCTGCTCCATTTCTTCTGAAGACCGTTAGAAATGCTGAGAAGAATTCCTGGCAAACAGCATTTAACCACCATTAATCTGAAGTCACCATGAAGGAGTGGAAGATGGTCTAAAATACAACTGAACATCCAATTGCTTAAGCACATAAGTAATCCGCCCAGCCACTTAAAATTCAGTAGGTGTCTTTACATTCAACATAGTTTCCTCAGAACTTAGATGCTGCTCTGAAGTGCATGGCTATGGGGATGATACACTACCTCAGCAGCATACAAAAGCTAAGCAAGGTGTACCCGAATTTTGTCTAATTGCTCAGTGAAGCTGCATTTATTAAGCATAATCAAAGGTGAATGCAGGGCAGCAAAACTGATCATAGCACCAGTTTCGTGCCAAAACAGAGCTGAGGAAGATGACAGTAAAAGGATCCCTCCTTGGCATAATAACGAGCCAGCACACTTGCTCCAGACGGAGAAGGCCTCAGCAGAACACTCAAACATTTCTCCTGCTCCACCAGCCAGAAATTACTGAGTTGCCTGCGAGAAGCTACACTCCACTACTTTTCTGGAAAATAATATAGCCCAGAGTCACAGGTTAAAAAGAGTGAGAAGGGAGAGCACATGATTCTATAGCCTAATGGTTAGACTGTCAGAGTCCATGCAAAGTGGAGGAAACTGGAGCTGAAGGCACACTGCCAGTGATTTCTGCCCTCCATCAACTACCATCCTGACACACAGTCCACCAGCCCAAGCACAAAGCTCTAGACACACCACTTACTGGAGAGCTTTTCTTATTTCTATAGAGCAAAAAGGTGGCAAAAAAAAAAAAAAAGCAGCTCTGCTGAGATGAGTGGTAGCCAGATAACACGGCCACTAGAGGGACTGTTACCCACTAGTGTAAGCCATTAGGATTACAGCAACATACAATGAAAACGTTAGTGAAAAGCCTTGGTATTTGCCTAAAAATCAACCAGGCTCCTATAACAGCAGATGAACAAAATTCCAAAAGGTTACCTGCAGTAGTATCTTCCCTGGCACTCTGTCTTGAGTCAACTGAGCCAAAGGAAGTATCTTCCAGCAGTGATCCTCTTTCACTATCATACCCTTCTTCAGCTTCTCTATTATCTGAGAAGTTGGCCTCTTCATGTTCAGGTGGAACATTAACAGCCCTTTCCTCCTCTGCAATGGGCTGTTCTGGCCTCTTATCTTCAAGCTGCTGAAATTCCTGATTGCTTTCATCAATGGCATTTGGGTTTCTGTTGAAAATTCCATCATACTCAGCCTCTTCTGCACCATCTATGGCAGACAGTGAAACATGAATTAAGCACTGAGCTAATGCGTACTTCTTACTTGCAGCTGTCTCCAGTGAAATACTACATTTCCCAAGGCTTCATACTTTTTAAACACTTTAGTGTGTCTGTTGCTTCCAATATATTCTCAATCAACTTTCAGTAACATCTAAGTAAATGTTTATACAGAATTTATGCAAGTTATCAACGACTGACCTTGCAATGAAATCTCACAAGGTGAAATACTTTCATAATTCATGACATCCTTAACATGTACTACTGGTAAAAGGAGGCTTGCTAAGAGCCTATCTTAACATATTGCACATTAATTAGAAAAAACAGCAAGCTTACAGCAGAGTCTACTGCTCGTTCTTCCTTCATCAAGAGATCCGTTTGTTCAGCATTTCTACTAAACCACTCATTTATAAATGCAGGCAAAAATAAGACGATAGGGACAGCAGAGATTTTAAGTACATAGATTTGGTGCCAGAACTTTGCATTAATCACCAGGTCTCTCATAGTTAGGTGCTAGCTAGTTCAGAAAAAAAGACTGCCCTAAACCCTCTAGAAAATTCAGTACATTAGTATTTGTGAATCCCTATTTCTTGAGAGGGGAAGGTATAGACATGACCTCCACTTTCTTGGGCAGAACCTGGCCCATAAGAACAATCTGAGCTCAACATTTACTCTCAGGATTTGTGCCTGGGACACCCATCAAAATGCCAAAAAAAAATGCATTAAAAATAAGTAAAATCCCAGCAGATTCTACAGGGTCCTTCTCAATTCTGCTCCCTCACCCTCTTCTTAAAGCTTCTCTAGGTTACATAGTGTTGTTTGGGATAGGGTTTTATTTCTGTTTCATTTATTTCTTAAATGGTTTAACATCCTACCTTGAACATGCAGCTCATCATCTTCCTGTTCTGGAATAGATGCAAGCGGAACACTCTCACTAGCAGATGAATATTGACTTCTTAAAGAATATATTAATTCTTGAATATCATCCATCAGTGCGCTCTCCTCATCATACAAATCCATCTCTTTCACCACCTCCTCTTTATTTTCTGCCACTCTGGAATCCAGGACTTTTCCCACAACATCCATAATGCTTGATTCTGAAAACTCAAGTATCCGGTCCAAGGCTTTTTCTGTATCTTCATTATTATGGCTCGCCTTCTGAGCCAGCTCCATCTCTACCTTCATGTCATGGAACATGGCCTCTATCCTAACCACATGTTGAAACCCGAGGTACTTTTGTAGCCGTATTACACGCTTTTCATCAAGAAAATGTCTCATTATTGTGAGCTGCTTCACAGACTCACCGAAGTCTGTGACAGTGTCATTTGTGGCTGTGGAGCTGTCAACAGGGCTGGGGAAATTTGCAGACTGCTGGTGGTCATTTCTTGTATGCTCTAAATTTTGCATGTCTTTTGAGTCTTTCTGTGAAATGCTCTCCGGGAGATGATCTTTCCTTTGGTTAAAGTCATTGCTGTCTTCCATGTTAGGAGATTGGAAATTATGTTCTTCCACAGCTGATGGCTCCTCAGCTTCAGAAGACTCATCATCATCTTCCATGACATGTTCCATCTCATGCAAGTTAGCATCTTCACTCACTTGTGCATCAACCTCTTTGTTTCCTGTCTTGCTTACATCTTGCATGCTAATGGCTTTTTTAGCCTCCTTAAAAAATGAGTTTGTATCCTCTTCTGTTTCGTAAGTAGGATTTGCAGTTACTGAAACAGCTTCACTTGGTACATCTAATTCAGTGTTTGTCCTTTTAACATTTAGCATATTGCCCTGTACATTTGTAGCCTTTGCTTGTGAAAGCTTTGCACTTGCAGCATTCTCATCTTCTAGGAGCTCTTCCTCTGTTTGTTTCAGGTCAGGGATGTCTTCAGCATCAAGCTCTTCAGATTGCAATTCTGGTCTCTGTATTTTTTCTTTAGATACATTTGTGCCAAGATTTCTGTCAGAATCTGCATCCTCAGTATGAGCAGTTCTTTGCTGAGTAAGATTCTCTGTATTAGTATTCTGTGTAATGCTTTTTGACTTTTCTTCAGGGGAACTTTTCTCAATGCTTTCTTCAAGTATTGTCATCTTGCCAAGATTTCTTGAAAGGTCTTCTTTCACATCTGCCTCTGAATACTTAGTCTCATTTTCCCATGGCCTAGGTTGCATCATAGCTCCACTATGGCTTGGGTCTCCCTCCCTTGTAGGAGTTTCTTTCCTGTTTCCCCTTTTAATGTCAGGTTCTTGGTTAAGAGAGGTGGTTTTTTGATTTTCATGATTGGTCTCCCCAGTTTGTTTAAAATCATCTTCATGTCTTAGAATTTCTCTCTCCACAGCGGGTATTCCATGCTTCAGTTTCTCTTTCAAGAGGTCAGTATCTCCTAAGTCACTCTGAAATGCATTTTTTATCTCTTCCACTGGTTTGGCTGGAACATCAACAGAAGGCTTGTTCTCAGCTCTTCCTTCCTTATTTGTTTTCTCCCATAACTTTTTATGCTTTACATCAGTTTCCAAGATGTCATCCTCAAATTTATTCTCACTTTTCTCATTTTGAGAAAGTGGCACTCCTTCTGGAATTCTGTTGATATCACCAACAGGTGGTTTTAAAGCATCTTGCTTGCTTTTAAATAATGATTTTGACTGCAGATGATCTCCTGGACTAGGCAAAACATGAGGATCAGACACAGCTGTACTCTTCTGCTCTTCAGTATGTGACTCAGTTCCATCAGCTGTGAGCTGCTCTTTTAAGTGTTCAGATTTGTTTGTTTTTAATTTTGAACCTAGATCACCTGTACCTTCAGGCTGCTTCCTAAGGAGTTCTTCAGAGAGTTCCTCAAGTTGAGTTGTTGCCGGTGCTTCTCTTTTACTAATTAGCATCACCTCATCCTGTTTCTCTTCTGTTGGTTTAGGTTCAGACCTACCCACACTGTCACCTGACTTCTTGCTGTTACTGAAGGCACCCTTAAGAATTAATGCATCTGGATCAGTTTCTTCCTCATCATCTCTTTGGTTATTTAGCTCTGTAGCACCCTGTGCATCTTCATCAGGTTCATGATTTTGTGGCTCAATATTATAGTTTTCATCATTTTCTAAATCCACCGGGGATGTAATTTTTTCCTGTGCTGTAAAAGACAGCAAAGGGATTTCTTCAGACTGATCCACAGAATCTGGCTCCTCCTCTGCATCATAAGCATTCATGCTCAAATCTTCATTAAAATCGTCTTCCAGTGATGTAACAAGGCGAGTCACTTCATCATCTGATACAACAGCATCAGCAGTTGAGCCAAATTTTGTTTTCAAGTTCACAGAAAGCTCTCTGTTTAAAAGTGTATAGGCATTGACTTCTTCATTCTCTTTGACAAGTTCACTGGTTTCACCCTGAGGAATACTAGTGTTTTTGGTATTTTCACTTTCTAGCCCTTTTAGTTTCCCATGTAGCATTCCTTTCAAGTGCTCATGTGCAATTTGATCTCCCTGAGATTTCTCTTTATGACTATTGACACTGGAGTCCCCCCCAGTATTTGCAGTTCCTCCTGTAAGAGAACTGTCTGCTTCCTCTGGCATGGTAAGGGCTTCCTTGTCTTCCCCTGTACTTAATTTAAGATTGTCTGTCTTCAAAGTATCAAGGGACTTTACTGTATCAACCTGTTCAGTCTCCTCATCCCATTTAATTCCTTTTGCTGTTTTTGCCCTTGGATCACTTGATTCAGTTGCCTCTTCATTTGATATTGTCTCTTGCAATGACTTCAAAAGTTCATCCACATTGTAATTATCAAAATCATCTCTTCCGCCATCAAAGCAAACAAAGTCTGTTTCCTGAAATGAAATACAGTAGGTAGTCAAATATTTTCTTTACCACAGTGATGAGACCAAATCCATTTGGTTGGTTAGAGAAAGATGCAGCAGCAAAATAAATTATATTAATCATGCAGAATTAATCCCTTGAGTCCTTAACCGAAACTGTCTTTGAAATCAGTGGAAGTTTTGCCCAAGGACTCTTAAAAGCCTAAATGAAAAGCTCATGGGTTAGCCTTGTCAAAGACCTCCTAGTGAGGTACAAACTGGAAGTCAGCAACGGAGTTGAGAGCATTATACTTTACTCATCACATACATCCTGAATCAAGAACAAGCATATTGCTGAGTGCCAGTGAGAAGAAAACAAGTGTCACTAAGCTTGTTTTTCCCACTCTCTTTCAGCTGGTCTCTCCTCAAATGATCAAGTCCATCAAGCAGGAGCTGCCTGTCACACAATCCCTGAAAAATAAATTAAAGCAGCTGTGCCAGCCACTCAATACCATTTCATAAGGGTCTCAAGCTGTATCCACAAACAGGCCTTATTCACATAACTCTGGAGTTACTAGTTATTACTGCATGAAAGCCATTTACGTGTTTAGGGGCTGAAAGACCAATTCTAGAATCAAAGGGCTACAGGTATTTCAGGGTTTGTTTTTTTTCTGATAATACTTTACATTTCAAAAGCTATGGAAAAGAAAGAATGCTAAACACATACCAAAGAGCCCATGTGCCAGCCAGTAAGCAGCATTTCTAAGGCTCAATTCACACAGATTTTTTTAGAAGAAAACCAGAATATTCAGGGGAAAAAAAAGCAACGCCCCACTTTTGGGCTGCTGCTTGCATACCCACCCACATACATATCTGCACAAACGTTCCACCTCCTGATACATACTTGCATCTCTGCAGATATGTAGCTGCTTACTAACAAAGGTAACTACAGGTGTCTGATATTCCCATTCTCCTCCTCAGGAATTTTTTTGAATGGTAAGAAACAGTAAGCAGCCCAATTAAAAAAAAAATAAATAACAAGACTTACATCTGTTGGTAACTCTAGCTCCTCATTGGAATAATTATGATTTATTTCAAGTAAATCCTTTGGAAAATATCCAAAATCACTTCCAACCTGCCAAAAAAACAAAAGTGAACAAAAAGAAGCTTTTGAAATCACGTGACTATGTTAAAATCCTAATTACAGACACTAGTAACAAATACCAAACTCAAGCATTTCTAAAGTTTAACACAGGGAATAAAAGAAAAAGATTAACAACACCTTGTGTATGGAAGAGTTTTCATTGAAGTTTTATACTTACATTTTACAATACCTTTGTGCAGTTGCTAAGTTTTATTGTTCGTGTTTTAAAGCCTGACTTACAACAAAGTATTAGGAGAGCTGAGGGTGAATCCCAAGCACTCTGGCTCAGCTGCTGTAACTGCTATAAAGAGCTCTCACTGGCTCAGGTGTTTTCTCAAGTAGTAAGCAGAAGAGGATCTTTGACTAATAATTTACATCCATGCACAATATTATAGCCTGAAACATGCTCACTTTGTGGGTTCAGGGGAAAAAAAAAAGCAGCAGATTTTAGGAAAATGCAAAATTGTACCTGGGATAATGATCTAATTTAAAACCTGTGTGGAAAATACACCTCCCTCTGCAAACGTATTTTTGTTCTTCAGTGACTAATAAAAACAAAAATTAGTTGCAGATGGCTATTTTCAAGCAAGCCAACGTGCCAATCCAAGGCAAACAGTGGAAGACAAGAATCTGTTGTATCATTCACCAGATAAGATCTAACAGAGCAATGCTCTCACTTGAGAGTTCTGACAACAACTGTCAAGAAGCCAATATTAATAGCATGCTATCACTACACAGATTAGATACTCCAAGCAATTAAGAGCCTGGTGAACACACCTGGAAAGGTACAGAGTTCCTAGACAACCAAATTATCCAGGGAAAAAAAACAGCATACAAACCACAAAACCAAATGTTGGTAATTTCTTCAATGCTTGTTACAGGAGGAATATGGCAATTGCCAACTTTTTTTGGAGAGTTTGTTTGGAAAGAGTACTCAGTTAAAGATCAAACTGAAAAGGAAACCAGTGTTGTGTAAAGCATATGTAGGGATATGTATTGTAACACTGATATCACCAAAATAGGTTTCACTTGGGCTGAAGTTTTCTGGATTTGAAATAGCATAGAAAAAAAAAAAAAATTTCTACCCAGTAACTTATATGTATTAATACCTTTTTTTGTTTTGGTTTGGTTTTTTTTTTTGTTATGCAAGCAAAGTAAGCACTAACTCATTATAGAGCACCCTTTATTAACTTTCTCATTCAAATCTTACCTTCCATAGTTGACATCTCTGAAACTAGTTACACATATATTCTGTTGCCTATTGCCTCCCCACCTTTTGTAAACATGTAGAGATACTTTCTTATGGAAAAGAGATGATTTATGCAGGTTTATTATTGTGCATTACTGGGAATGAGAAACTAAACAAGTCAAATCAAAAGCTTGTTCTTGTGCAGTATACTACAGTTTTATTCTAAATTGGCTTGTTTCTCTCCACAAACCTATATTCCAGTTTTAAATTATCTTCCTGAAAACAAAAGCCAAAGCTTCAAAGTCGTCTCCCTACAGACTAATCTCTGTGACTACCATTATAATTAGGCATCTCATTTCGAAGCTCATTTAGTATAATCCCAGCTACTGGCCATACAAGTCCTCTGCAGTGAACCAGTTTGCCACTTATGTGGTTTATGAGCCATATGGAATCTGCATGCCCAAAATTTCATCTGCTGCTCTCCCTACAAGTCCCCTCTTGTACAGGGAAAATAATGCCCCATTGTCCAAAATGAAGAAACATTCTTCATTCTCTACAGACACGATAGAGGGCAGGCATTTTGAATACCAAGTGAAGGGAGAAAAAATGTGCATCCTTCATTTCCACTCCCTTCCCAGCCAAAATGCTGTGGGTGGGCAAAACATGCAGCTGTGTGTACAGCATCTGTCCCCAGCAGTGCCCACCTGTGGCAGCCAGCTGTAGCAGATTCACCAACCACAGAACCGTATTTCACACCACCTACCTCTCAGTAAGAGAAAACAGACCACTGGGAAACAAGACATTCACATGTTTTTAATCTTAAAGCCCACATTCCTAAAGCACAGGCATCACAGGTACTTAAAACTGAAGAAAACTGGTTAAAGAAGAGTTGTTTTGGTCTGCCCTTTCTGAACCATGGCATCATTAAGAGAACAGAAACAGGAAAAAGTTCACTGATCTTCTGGATCCTCCAGACACACTCTATCTTACCTTAAACCTACCCCTCCTGTCTTCCTTTATATTACCCTATGTAAAGATTTTAAAACAACAACAAAACCTGATGACCCAAAAAACTGAAAATCTGCATCCAAGTCAATTTCTTGCACTGTGAGGTCAGAAATAAGTTCCCTCAACCTTGAACCAAGAAAAAAGTTCAGCCTTTTGCCATAAAATAAAATAGCAATCATCTGCAGCAAGAATTTAAAGGGTCATTGCTGAATTGTTTTGTTAAAGAGCAGCAGCCTTGACTTGAATTATTTTAAGTAGTTTTGGAATTCTGGACCCTGCTAAAGATGACAGCAGAGTGGAGGAGAAATGCATAGAAGGAAAGTCTACATCACACCACTTGATAGTGTAAACAGCATGAGATAGATGCTAAAGAGACTAGTTTAGAGCAGAACAGAGTGCACCGGACAATGAGAGTATCTGATATGCCCCACCTTTTGGCTTTGGGAAAAAGAGTCAAGTATTTTCCTGGAACTGACATATTAGTGAAATTCATAAAATAAAAACCCCTAGTAAATAATGATCATAGAATATTTGTCCAAGCATTTGGCTTTATTTAATTTATGAGATTTAGACAGGTCTGCTAAAAAATGCATCCCATATAACGTACAGCAGCTGGGTAGCTGGGTTCCAGAATTTTTTCACATGCAAAATACTCGCTGAGCCCAATGGGAATTCTGCAAGCCATAAAGTACACAAGACTGGGATAATAAAATACAGGAGATATTTCATTAAAATACAGCATGTTTGCTGGCATAGACCAAAGGGGGGAAAAAAACACAAACAAACAATAAAAACACAACAAAAATCAAAAGAGTGCTTGAAAAGGGCAGAGTGAATTAAAAAAGCAAAGGCAAATAAAGCCCAGACCCAACTGCTGCAAATTTTTCAGCCTTGGCAAAAGGCTCCTTTCTGATCAGATCATTTCCCTTCAGGTCAGAAACACTTCATTCACAACTTGTTTGAAAGAAGTCCCGGGCTGCGGTAGTTGAAGCCCCTCATATACGCATTCCCCTCTCCTCTTCCCTCATCTGAAGAGCACAATGCCAGTTATCCCCTGATTTCATAGTTTATATTATGCCCTGGTAAATACTTTCACCCAAAACTTTGGGAATGGAAGAAGACAGTAGGGCAGATGCATGAGATCAAGTGACACGGAAGAACACGCGTTAAGTCACACAGAGATCCCAAAACGGCTGCAGCAGAAGGTAACATGCCTTCCACTGGCATCTGTTTGATCCCCGACCTTGCTAGGTAGTCTGTTTTTACTTAGCAAGCCACAGCCTCCCCCTAGCTCCAAGCCTGCACTCAGCAGGCACGGCTGGTCTGCATAAATCAAGCTGCCCAGTGAAACCTGGCATGGGAGAGGGGCCACAGCGCTATCTGCGAGTCAGGGTCAGACGTGACAGTGCCCTGCTCAACACACACGGGTAAGCACTTTGATCCCACTGCAGGCTGTTGCAGCGTTAAGATCAATGCAGAAGCAGTCGACCAAACTGGGAGGGAAAAAAACCAAACAAATATTATAGCCACCAACTGAAAGAAATGAGTCAGTCATCACTGCCCTAAAAGGAACATAGAAATTAGTGTAACGCACTTAAAAACTGACAACAAAAAGGAGCTTCGCAATTCTTTTAACCTGCCAACTTCAGATTTTACTTGTTAAACTCAAAGCAAACATCCTTTTAACTTGGAGAAACACCTAACTGTTGCATGATTACTGAATAGTTAAAGTGAATATTAACTCAGCAATTACCTTAATCCTGCTGTCTGATCCTGTAGCCTGTGTTACGCCTTGTTAGAAGATGCAAAATTGGCTGCATGCTGCTACTTTGTGTCTCAAGAACTGGCAGTCCTGGAAACCTCTATGGCTAATTAACCAGATTATTTATGGTACAGTACATGTCAGAAGGGAATTACCAGCATGATACAATTATAAACTCTTATTTAACCACGTGCTGCAACTTTCTGCTCTCTTCTGTATTACTTTAATTGGATTCGGCTCCTGCTGAGAGCCTGGGCAGTCCACACCCAGCCTGAACAGGTTAGAGAAAGTGATACACCCTGCTTTTCACTAAACCACTAGTCCCAAAACTGACACCCAGTTGCAGTTTCAGGCAGCCCAAACCACTGTCACAGGCAACTGTGACTACACAGCAATTCCTTACAGAAGACCAGCACAAGAAAGGAGGATGCAGTAAATTATTCGGGCACAAAAAGGTATGTAGTGGAAACATGGGGAACAGGGCAACAGGAACAAGGTCTAAGCAACCTCCAAGCTGCCAGCATTTTCAAGGCAAGTCCACAAAATTGCTCTTCCTCCAGGCTATCTTGGTTCTGCGTTCAGACGGGCAAATGTGATTATCATAAAAGCTGGGAAAAGTTTCCTATGAAATAACTGCAAACACAGGGACCCTCCTTTCTCATTAACCCTCTCCTGATTGGCCAAAGAAGACAATGACCCAGACAAGGCCATTACTCTGCAAACTGCTGCAATGTGTTACTAAAGCTGAAGGACAGACCTTTTAAAAATCAATTTTACCTTAATTACTTTTTAGCTTTACTACTTTTTTTTCCCCATCCAACCCTGCATGCTGCCTAGATAAAAAGGAGAGGACAGCAGCTGAATATCAGGAAGAAAAACGTGATTAAAACAGGTACATGGAACAACCGTTAGCAGGATTACAGAGAAAGCAGGATGAGGGCACATCAGGGGTAAACCATAAGCCCAGGCTTAAGCCTCCTTGCACGGGGACGGAGGCTCAGCTTCCAGGCAGGCTCAAGGGCCATCACTTACAGTTTTTAGTACATTGTACATTTAGTACATTTAGCATTGCCCATTTCTCACGGCACTTAATGCTTTAGGTTTGCTCAAACCACATCCCACTGCACACCGGTCTCGAGACAAAATGGCATCATTATGCTATTTAGCTATGTTCAAAACCCTAAGCATTGTCCTACAAGGCAACAGGAAGAACAAACAAATAAATTACCAACAGAAAGCACCAAAAGGAGCAAGTAGAACAAATGCATTACAGTACTTACGCTTCCAGCCCAGAGCTCGACTGTTTGTCCTGTTAGCTTGTAATACACATACACTGCTTCTCCCTTCTTAAAATTTACAAAGCGACAGTCTGGGCCTTTAAAATCCTGTGTCGCCTTCCCTCGGCACATTAACACTGTCCGGGTAAAACAGAAAAAGCAGAGTATTACTTCAAAAATAAAAAAGAAACAAAAGGAATCCTTGCTAAGGGGCGGAAAACAAGATCTCCCCTTCGTGCACCCGTCCCCTGTTTTCCAGATCAGGTCAGCAGGTAAGGACTGCACGGAACGTATAAACCGAAACATCACTTTATTTAAAATAAACAAAACAAAACAAAACAAACCAAACCAGCTCATTGATCAAGACAAGCGCTTGACAACATACTTGAAAATTACATTTCAGAGGTGAAGCTGATTATGCGTATTCAATTAGACGCCGAAAGATGAGATATGTGCCCTCGTGTACCAGCCCTGACATTACTCAGCGCATTAACCCCCCACACCCCCCCCCCCCCAGAGAGCGCGCTGCTTACGGGAAGGGCTTTTTTCAGGGAAAAAACCAAATAAATAGATAAATAAATAAAAAGAAGGAGCAGCGATCGGAAAACTTGCTGGAAAAGCAGAGGAACGCCGCGCGCCGGCGCCGCGTTGCCACTTTCCTCCCC